TTTTCACATCTCCAAGGTTTACGTAACTGGACGGCTCTGTTGGTCACTTTTTGCGATCTTTGTGTTGCATAAACAAACAAAATTTCCTGGAAAAGAAGGAGAGTTTTGTTGATCAAAGACAATTTTAGTAGAGAAATTGGAATTTAATGTTTTAATAATTTTGAAAAAAGTTCCTAGAAAATGCAAGATAATTGAGAGGACCTGCATAATAGATTTAATCAAAAGTCTTTGATAAATAAAGAATGCTCCTTTATATCTACACTTTCATTTAATGTACAATAAAATCTTTTTTGTGGTAACACTTAACAGTGTTACAACAAAAAAGATTTAATGTGAGAGAGGATAAGGTCTGACCCATATGTGAGAGCTGACTTGCCTTTATTTAGGATTATATTAAAGATCCTTTAAAAGTTTCTATAATAATTTTTTTTTACTCTCCTGAACAACATAAACAACACAGACATACACATTACACCTATACAACCATATACAGTCTGTTACATTGTTTTGCATGATTTTTATAGATAAACTTTTAAGCAATTTTATTTAAAAATGCTATTAAAAAAAGGCTTTCTATATGTTATGTTGATGCTTTCTATATGTTTTGTTAATTTGTTTTTTTTTTTTTTTTGTATTGTTTTGTTATGGTCTCAAAATTACGTTAATTCGAAGTTTTTTTTAGACGTTTTGAAAACATTTTAGAAAGCAAAAAAAAAAAGCGCTTAAGATTAATTGGATCAATGAGAGACAATTACAAAAAAATTAAAATTAGGCAAATAAAATATAAATAAAGCTAAGTAAATTACATTTAAAACAAATATTTTCTAAACATCACTCTTTAAAAATTTTTTTAATAAAATTAAGCAATGTTTTTTATATAAAGTAACAACTTACAATTGTTTAAAAGGGAAACAAAATACTCTTTATTTTGCAATAATCAAAGTTTGCAAGTTTTAGTTTTATTTAAGTTAAATTATTTTATAAATAAAAAAGTTAATTTTTTAATACCAATTTTATGTTTTGCGTAGTTTGAAAAGTTTAGCGTATTTGAACATATTTCATTGAACATATATCATTGAAATTAAATTAACAAGATAGAAATCAACTAAAAAGGTTAAAAATACTTTATAATAGGGAAGCGAAACTGCTTCACAATATCGCTGATAATGTTTAGTGAGTGGGCTTTTTAATTTTAATTAGTATTTAAAGCAGAAAAAAGTATAATGAGTTTTAAGAATGGCAACTTAAGCAAAAATAATTAGTAAACTAGTAAACTAAATAATTAGTAAATTAGTTAGTAAACCAATATCTAGAAACTTTTCTTTACATCTAATTACTTGCTATATATATTTGTGTTCTGTCGTGACCTCAGGCACGGTGCTTGTTCATCCGCGAGTTACTTTGTATGCGTTGTTTATGTTTAGTAACCAGAAACTTCTTATATGTTTGTTACATAATTAGTTTTATTAACTTTAACGATTATAACTTCTAAAATTATTTAGTTTTATTATAACTTCATTGAAAACGCAATTATTGTTGAAGTCTTTTAAATCATAAAAATCGCTTTAAAGGATACATTACGATAAAAAACAAATACACAAAATTACATTTACATAAAGAATACATACTTTTTAAATAAAAAATAAAAATATACTAATAAAATCTATAATTTATAATAAACTTTTAAAATTTTGACAATTTAATTAATATATATTTAAAACATTTATTTTTGTGAACAAATAATATATATCCTTACAATAATTTATGCTAGAAATCTCAAAACGTAACAAATCGTTAATAATACAATTTCTAAAACATTTCAACAGAATACTCTAGAACTTTAATCAGCTTAATCAGCTTGTAATATATATTAATCAAATGATCACATTTTTTGAATAAAAAATATGTTTAATCAGCATATTTTTTGAACCAATAGAATTAGTTTGTTTGTTAATTTGGTGGGTTTTTAGTGTTTACGAATATTCTTTTTATTCTTTTGCGCAAAGATGTTTTGAGAACATTCAAGTTTTTTATGTTTCCATGTATGTCCGTAAAACAAAAAATTTTTGTTTCGTACATAAACTTAGATGTTTTCAAAATGACAAAAAAACCTGGCCAGTTTTTCGCAACTAAATATAATCTCCGTGGTCAGTATTCGAGAGCGTAATTCCCAATTCCCAACCAAGCCTGTAGATTAGTTTATAGTCTACTTGTCTTTTAATCATCCTTAGCAAAAATAACTGCCATACATATTCTTGGCATTCTACTTATATTAAAACATTCACCTTATCCAATTTTTAATGACTTCAATGCATAAGATGTGGAAAAAACTAATAAGTTTTTTCCACATATTATGCATCATTTTTTTTTTTGATATTACTCTATATTTTTGATATACTACAAAAAACTCTAACAGAAGAGAGATCTTGTGATTGGGGAGGGTAAAGCATTCTATTCAATATTTGATCGTTCTCGAACTCAGTCAAATAATTTTACAATTTTTTTTGTAGTACAAATAAACTACTCTTGTTGTACAAATAAACTACTTTTATTATTACTTCCTTTAATTTTACAAAGTAAAAATAGAGTGTCATGATAAAAAATATTCATTTTGGGTAGATAACTGTATCCAACTACTGATTCCATCAACAGCTGTAAAATATTGGAATATTAACAGTGCCAAGTTGGCTGGTGTTCCTGTTAATGCTTTTGATGCCCATTGTCAAAGCCGCACAAGGAGTTACGACTTTGAGTAACTAGCAGGACTAACATAACTGCATATTTCATTGCTTGGGACCCTGTGCTCTATGAATAAATCAAGTTCTCTTTAAACTTAAATGCTTAAAAAGTAACCCAGAATATATTACATGAAAAACCATCTCACCACCTAACTGTTTCAATCTTTTACAAATATTCTTAGACTTCATAGTAACCTTCTAATCTCTTGCAAAATTCACTTGTTACTGAGCTCTCAGTCTTGATAGGTAGGGAAAGACAGCAAACATTCAACCATGGGGAACATTCGACCTTTTCAAATATTTCCCAACACGATAAAAATTAACACTTAAAATTTGTATCCATGTTTTGTCTGTTAATAAGCTATCGCAGGAAATAAATATCGATCCATCTTTATTAGTATTAATACTTATATAGAAGAAATTATTGATGCAAAAGTTAATTTTTTTGTTTTAAATAATCCGCAGAGAATCAATTTTTCAATTTTAACCTCCTAAACTTTTTTGTTGTTTATTGTTTAATGTTGAGTTAAAAACCTTTGTGTTTGGTTTACTTTAAAAAAATTGATTTTGGCTTTTAACAGCATTTGTTTATATATAACACGTGTGGGGTACATTCAACCTACATAGCAGGGGAACATTCGACCGGTGCTTGAAAATACCATGATAATTTTTTTCTCTTATCTTTTAGATGCCTCAAAAATATGTAACGAAAACATATAGAAATAAAAGAAATGAAAATGTGGTATTAGAAAAAATTACTAGTATTTTTAATAGTTCACTGTCTGAACCACAAGCTGCAAAAAGATTTCATACCCAGACATGTCACAAGCAGAACCCTAATGGGAGAACCAAGTGAAAGTCTAGGGGTAATAAGTACACCATTACAAAATAATTTACCACTCTTATTTACTAATGGAACGCATTCCTATTGCAACTACTAGAACAACTCTAACAATTAAAAACTGATTCCAGTGCAGCCCTTGCCTAAAGCTTTTCAAAGACAAAATAAGTAAAGAGGAAATCAAGTCAACGATATATGCTAACATTCCTGAAAAGGAAAAGATTGAAAAACTTCATTTGAAAAAAATTAAAGAGAAAAGTCATCAAACTGAAAAAAAAAAACGCTTTTAAAGTCTGCAACTCCATAAAAAAGACGAAAAGAACGGCAACGTTATTTTATATTTCGATATAACTTCGCAAATCTTGTTGTAAAACAGCTATTACTATTTGTTTTTAAATATTTTGTGGAAATTTTTTATTGTACAATAAAACATTTGTAAGAAAGAAAGCTTATAGATTTATTATTTTGCTAATAATGATATGTTTGAAAGTACGCCACTAGGTGGTCGCAAGTACCCCAACAGTGGGGTAAATTCAACCACTTTGAGGCTTACTTTTAAAGTAGTGGTAGATTTGACAAAAATCAATATTTTATATACATTATCTTTTTACTTTGTTGGTTTAAGACCATTACTTGTAATGCTAAAAAAAATTAAATGTTTTTGGTAAAAAATCATTTGTAAATTAATAAAAACCAGCTAAGTGATTGAATGTTCCCCGTCTTCCCCTACTGTTGTTTGATTTGCAAAGTTCCCATTAATCACATCGTGGCTTGGAGGTATACTTACGCGTCTTTATTTTTTAATGCATTTAAATTTAATGCATTGAAATATAAATCTCTAAATTTAATTTATTTAATAAATATGAATTTAAAATTTTAATATTTGATAGTAACAAAATAATAATGACTTTTTTAATATTTCCTGATATCAATGTACTATATTTTTTCTTTTTAATGATACTTAAGACTTTTTTTTAGATTTTATTTTTTTTAAATATAAATAAAAAATAAGTTAAACAAACATCAAATAAAATATATATATAAAATAAAGTTATAATAAAGAAATGATAATAAAGAATTATTAAGTAAAAATATATATGACATATATAAAATTGTAAGGTTTACCTCTCTCTTAAAATTTATGGGACTGTATAAAAATTTAACCACCATGTATCAAGTTAAACATGCAAAAGCAAATTTAACCACCTTGTATCAAGTTAACATACAATGAAATCTGATAAATATTGTACAACTTAAGAAATAATCTCCCACAAACCAATATGTAATATATTGTTTTCTTTAACTTTTATTTTTACCATTAGAAATGGGCACTATTGTTTAACTATTGCTTTTTTCTAAAAACTTTATTAACTCAATTTCACACTACTTTTCTTATAACAAAAAAAATTTTTTAAATATACCTTGCTATGACAAGAGATGCATTATGTGTTAAAGACATACAAGATGACTGAAGCATATCACATAAAAGTTGAATAGTGTCATCAAATTCATACTGCTTCAACAACCACAGTCGACCTTCAAATGAAGCAGCCTACCAAAAATTTTTGCATATTTTTTTATAAAAAAAATATTTATATATGTATAAATAATATATATATATATATATATATATATATATATATATATATATATATATATATATATATATATATATATATATATATATACATATATATATATATATATATATATATATATATATATATATATATATATATATATATATACATATATATATATATATATATATATATATATATATATATATATATATATATATATATATATATATATATTAGTAGAAAATCATTATATATATATATATATATATATATATATATATATATATATATATATATATATATATATATATATATATATATATATATATATATATATACACACACTTACTAAAGCGTGTTTTGATAAGCATTTGCTCACTTTTTGTGCTTACTTTAAGGTAAACTGTTTTTTTCGAAAAAGAAGAAGAAATAAAACGAAGAATGATAAATAAAACGATTGCTTCCCCACCCCAAACCCTCAGTCGATGTAGCAGCACTCCACTGCGAGTCAGGCTATTTGTCAGTCGTTGTATATAAGTAGAAAATCACTTAACAAAAATTATTTTTATTTTACATTGTGTTTTATCAACAAAGACTCATCAGAAATGAATGATCAAATTAATAAAACTTCAATTTATACCAAAAAAATTAAATTGTTTTTTTGGTCAAATAGAGTGACAATTGTTTTTTTGCTTACAATTACAATTAAAAACTGTAATTGTAAATAAAAAAACAAGTGTCCAATGATTGGAAGTTGTTTATCAAAAAATGTGGTATATAAATGTTTTGTTTCTTCTAAGAATGTACCCAATAAACAATATATTGGCATAACAGAGGGTGAATGGAAAAAACGTTTTGCTAATCATAAGCAATCTTTTAAAAATAAAAAGTATTCAAGAGACACCATGCTGCCAAAATATATATGATAACTAAAGTATAATAATATCGATGATTTTATACCAAATTGGTCCATCCTTAAAACAGCACCCGCATACAACAAGATTCCCAAAAAATGCATGCTATGTCTACAAGAAAAATTTGAAATAATTACACATGCAAACCAAGAATGTTTGTTAAACAAAAAATCGGAACTGATTTCATGAATGCAGGCACAAAAAAAAATTTCTCCTAAAAAACTATAAAAATGAATGAGCTCAAATAATAGTTACATTAAATCCCCCCTTTTTAAAAATATTTTTATAAAAAAGCATTAGTAATCATGTCTAAAGAATTCTTTTTATAATAGCGTCAGCAAATTCCACAAATGTGTGAAAATTTACAGTAGTTTACAGTAATTTACAGTAAAACATTTACAGTTACAGTAAAACATTTACAGTTACAGTAAAACATTTAAAGTTACAGTAATTTACAGTAAAACATTTGTGACTTCCTGTAATTTAATTTTTGGTATAAATTGAAGTTTTATTAATTTGATCATTCATTTTTGATGAGTCTTTGTTGATGAAACACAGTGTAAAATTTAAGAAATTTTTGTTAAGTGATTTTCTTCTAATTTAGTATTGCTCTGTTCTTTTAAGAACATTGAGTACTCTATTTCGTAGAATACATTATTAAAATTGTTTAAATATACATACATATATATATTTATATATATATATATATATATATATATATATATATATATATATATATATATATATATATATTATATATATACTAAATAGTTACTACATGTCTTTAAACAAATTCACTCAAGTTAGATGTTAATAGTAAAAGAATTCACTCTCAAGTTGATCCATTGCTTGACATTTGTATCATTCCAGACTCTTCTATATATATATTTATATGATGTAGTCCGAACAATATACCTGTTATAGTTTTGCAGTGTTGTCCGGAGTGTTGTCGCCTATACTTTCAAAACTATTTAACAAGTGCTTATCAGAGTCTTGTTTTTCAGCTTGTCCTTGATGGACATCAATCTTCTTCATACCATGTACCTTCAGGGGTTCCTCAAGGTTCTATCCTTGGCCATATACTCTTTTTAATATACATTAACGATCTTCCAGATATTCTCACATCTAAGGTGGCATTGTTTGCTGATGATGATTTTCCATTTATTCTTGATAAGAAGCTAACACTCTTTTAATGCTTAGAGCATTTGAGCTTGAAAAGGATCTCACGCCTGCTACAGCATGGGGCACACAGTGGCTGGTGAACTTTAACTCAGATAAAACTTAATTTTTTTCAGATAATCGTTATCGCCACAGTTTAGATTTTCCTATATTTATGAACAGTAATGTACTTGATAAGTCATCTACCTTTCATCTTTTAGGATTAAATCTTACTTCCGATCTTTCTTAGAAACCATATAACAAATCCATTGCAAAATTAGCTTCTGCTAAGGTTACATCTCTTTATCATGCTTGCCACTTTCTTACTCCGGAATCTATTCTTACTCCGGAATCTATTCTATCTCAATAAATTTCAAATCCATCCTTGTATGGAATACTGTTGCTATATCTGGGTGGATCTTTGAATTATGCCTTTTCTCTTTTAGACAAGGTGCAAAAAGCTATGGTAAACATAGTTGGACCTGCTCTTGCAGCCAACTTCCAACCATTATCACATCTTTTTTCTACAATTACTATAATAGACACAGCTTGAAGAGTTAGCGTCTTAAATGCCATCTACTAAAATTCATTCTTGTATTACTCATCCTTTGTGTTACTCATCATTAAGATTAAGTAACTATCTTTTTACTGTAACTGTTTCTAAGTGCTCCAAAAACTCTTATTTGTCTAGTTTTTTTTCTCGAACATCAGTTCTTTGGCTTCCTTCTTCTTCCTTTCCTGATTCATATACATTGCAATCTTTTAAGTCGTCTATCAAACATTATCTTGCTCTATAAACTTCATCTTTTCTCTTCCAGTAACTTCCAACTCTGAAGTGGTTTCTTGCAGCCTTGTTGGAAGAAAAGATGTTAAAAAAGTTAAAAAAAAAAGGCTTTTACAGTAGTTTAATTCACCCTCACAGTAAACAAAAATAGAGAATAAAATAAAATGAAAGAAGATTTTAAAAAGTGTCAGAAAAACATAAAAGTGTGAGAGAAGAAAATTTGGACATTTGAAAAATCAAGAAAGCTTATTATTAATGTTTTATTAAATGATTTAACTTATTAATTAATATATTTTGGCCGCCAGAAAGATGATAAAAACCAGAGTCTAGTAAAATCTAATAAAATTGCAATGGACTAATGTAGGTGAAACTCCATCCTCAAGGCCATGATATATTCACCAATATTTTGGAGAGCCTGATAAAAAATGACTAGCATTGCTCTTTAGGGATTCATTCTTGATATCTTTACCATTGCCTGTATCATTGTATCAAGGCAGGGGATCTCATTAGAAGAACTATTCCAACAATGACAACAGTAATTGGTATAAGAATGAATAAATGATTTATTTAGAGGTAAAGAAAGAATCAGGAGTAATCACGAGTATACCATAAGCATGTTTAAAAGAGGTAATATTACCAGCTGCTAAATACTGAGTTAATGCAGCTAATGCTGGAGTTGAAACTTGCCAGCCTCTGCAAGTACCAAAATGCCATAGAAGAAAGACTAGACTCAAGATCTGCTGCTCATTCTTTTAAAAACTTTCCTAGATGCAACATATGAAACAAGGCTCTGTTATACAATCGTTACAGACTTTATCAAAAGCCTTTGAAATATAAAGAGTGATAGCTCCTGTCTGATTGCTTTCATCAAGTACACAATAAAAGCTTTCATCTAGTGCACATTATCTAGTTAATTTTCTGTGCGTTGTTGATGAGATAATAAAAGTTTAATTATTAAAAATTCAAACACATTGCAAATAATTCATATTAACACATTACAAACACATTGCTAATGGATCACATTGCTAATGATGAAATATTAAAAGTTTAACATCTCTAATAATTTAATTAATAAAGATTCAAACACATTGCAAATACTTCGTATTAACACAATACATTCATAATAACATCTTTTCAAAATAACCAAAGATAAAATCTTTTCAGATTTTTGAAAAACTTAAACTTTGCAGCAAAAGTAAAAAAAAAAATTTTAATTAAAACTTTAAATGTTATATAATTGGTATTATAAATGTTATATAAACTGGTTTATGACTTATTTAGCCATGGACATACAACGTGATGCAACTTATTTAGCCATGGGCATACAACGTGATGCAACTTATTTAGCCATGGGCATACAACGTGATGCAACTTATTTGACCATGGACATACAATGTGATGCAACTTATTTAGCCATGAGCATACAACGTGATGCAACTTATTTAGCCATGGGCATACACCGTGATGCAACTTATTTAGCCATGGGCATACAACGTGATGCAACTTAGTTAGCCATGGGCATACAACGTGATGCAACTTATTTAGCCATGGGCATACACCATGTTGCAACTTATTTAGCCATGGGCATACAACGTGATGCAACTTACCCCAGTTTAGCAGCACGCATTTCGCAGTGTTTTGAAACACTTTTCATATTTACTGGCTAAATCTCAAGCTATTCTATAGAGGTATCAAACTTCATTTTTTTCTCACTTTTTAATTCCTACTCCTCCTTCTTACCTTCTGAATGAGTTGCATTTTTTAATTTTTTTCCAAAAATATTTTACATAAATTGCTATTAATAACTAAAAATTTTGATTGAACTGAACTGTTAGTATTTATGTTGAAAAATTGACATATTATTGACCATTATTGATAAATAAAATGTCAATTTTAAAAGGCCACTCAAAATAAATGAGCAAAGGTTGTAACAGAAATCTAAAATTGATTAGTTCTCAACTTGAAAAATATTTAAATTGATAACATGACAACAAGATAACACTTCATTCCAACTTAAAGTTAAGTAAAGCAAAACTAATGAAAATTAAGAACCTTTGATAAATTGATAATTATAAATAATTCAAGTTTAATAAATTTCAAGTGTAATACTAAA